GTTATAAAAAAATGCATGAGAAGAAAGAGAGGTACACACAAAACAATAATGCATTTTTCATAAAATTCAAAATAACGGAACAAATGTCGACATTTATATCACTTCATCAATGCATATTGGAACGATAATTTTTTATCATCTAATAAAAAACCTTCTTCTCTTTCAAACTTTATATGATTTGTTTTTGTTACGCTTTCACCCTCACAGAGACGAAAGAAAGAAAAATACTTGTACAGAAAATGTGAAATATTTTTGTTCATTGATAAGAGAAATCTTGTATAAAACAAATACTCCGAAATCAATGATTTATTAATATTCTTATCATTAACTTTTTCACATCGACAATGTTTGCTGATGTTCATCAGCATTCTCGGATGGAAATAATAATTAGTAAAGGATTGTTAACAGTGAAGCACTCAGCTAACTTGCATTGATTTATACTACTACGATTATCAATATATTCCAGTAGTTATATAAAGTTCAACAACCAATATTTATTAGACAACCACTTTTTGATAAAATTTATGTTCAGCTATATTTGAGATACTAGATCAAAATATCATACATTTTGTTTTCTAGACTATTTCTTTTGTAAAAGCATTAACTGCTGATTTACAAGATTTTTCTTGCAAGTTACTAAAAGAAATCGAAAATGTCGCTTTGATTGTGAATGTGTAACAAAACAAATCATAAATAGCTTGGAAAAATCGAAAATTTTCCATAAGTTAACAAAAAAAATCATTGCTCCAACATGTGCTTATGAAGATCTATAAGTGTTGGCATTTATTTCGCTATTTTAAATTTAATAAGTCGTATGTACTGCGAAAGAAAAGCAAATTTTCTATGAACTGCTTAATAAAAGTTATTTTTTAAGAAGTATTAATGAAGGGCCTTAAAGACCGATACTTTTTTGCTATTACTTTTGTATCGTATATTATATACGTATATATATATGATGACGTTTTCCATTGTAGCGATACATTTTCATCTTTTGAATAACTAATTATATTTCTCATGTGTCAGATGACCTTATTATATAATTTATCATAATGAATATTGAAAACAATCTATGTTTTTAAATAAGTCAGTTATTCTTAAGTATACTCATCGGTTAAGATATGATCGAACTCTTTATCATTGTTATGTTGAGAAACAAATAATATAACAAGAATACAAATTCGTCGAAAACTAGCAAACAACTGGACGTGATGTAGTGATTTAATAGTTTTGGACTGCTCTGTATAGAAGCCAAACAATGCTTCATTGACGTGCATACTTTCTCTTTGTTTTTGTTTGTAAGAAATCATTGTGTTGTCATAGGAAGCACTTGAATAACTGATTCCATTTGTGCAACAGAAATACAAGAAGCAGTTGGTGAATGGCGCATTTTTCAATTCTTAACAGTTGTGTTTTTTCCAACTTTCGAAAAAGCGGGCAACATCAATACTGAAATGACGCAATCTGGAATTTGCATCAGTTGATAATAATACAGTTGGAAAGTTGCTGAGCATAAAATTACATCTTCGAGACGCTACCACTTAAAGTAACAAGCGAGGCTGCTCACACGTACTTTTGAGGAGTTCCCACTTCCACCTCCAATTTTCACCTTGTTTCTACTCTCAATACTGGAGAGTGAGTTGTATTTTATATTTAAAATGAAGTCGCAAATAGAAGCTAATTTCAAAAATGACATCGTCGAGTCCACTGCATACTAATTAAGGATGAGTAATTATTATTTACAAACTAATAATTGCTAGTTATAAATCATTATTATGTATTAATTATTACGTATTAAACTTATGATAAGATATAGTTGTGGCTTAGAGTTAATCTGAAACGTTTATGGTTTCTTTTCGATTTTTGAATCTAGAAGGTCTGAATTTTAAATCAAGCGATAGAGGAAATCCATCTAGTGATAAAATTTTCCTTATAATAAATGAGAATCATTTCTTCTCTAATAGGACTAAATCATGAAATACTCATATATTAAAAATAATGAAAACGAGTATATCTTATATTTTTTCCAGAAAAGTTTACACCATTTAAGATACACATATAACTCTACAGAACACATTTTTTTAAATATTTCACGTTTTATATTGAAAGATTTAGTATGTCTGGAACGAATCATCGCCACTGCTTAAAAACTGATATGCTTAGAGTGATCTTGAGACGAAATCCTATAATTGTATTGATTGTCCGCTTCAAAAGTATTGTTATTGGAACGCAGTCTATTGTTATGAAGAACTTCGCATCATTATCAAGATGACTGCTAAGACGAAATTGGACTCTATAAATGAATTACACATGTAAGATAACTATATTTGTTTGATGCGTTGAGAGGCGACCATTCTGACGGTGGTCCAACAGCTGGATTAGTCATTGGATGCTTCGGTGCCGTGTGCTTAATGATAATTAGCCTGGTTTTGTTCATTCGGGAGCTTTTCAAGCCAGGTAACAAAGTGACAACCAGCTCAGGTAAGCAAAACACAAATAGAAGATCTAGTTTTTTTTCTAGCCATGACAACATAACTTATCTATTTTTATCTGAAAAAGTTCTAGTTCATAATTAGTCTGAAAATTTTTAGCTGTCATCGATTCTCATCTTGACTGAGTGACTCACGAGTATCACTGTATTTATTATGCCTAGTCTTATTTAGAGAAAAGATTCATCTAAAACGCTTCCAGAATCAATCAAGGTCAAATCAGTTCTCAAATCACGCACGCATCATATATCAGATTTATTTTAGGCAAGGACTAGATACGATAGGTTCTGGTGATACTCATCGTTTACAGAGGTGACGGACGAATCTGTTGACGAATAAAGTTTTGAACCAGTCAAGTACTAGGATTTTTTTCTCAGAAAAAAACTAATTATCGATTGCGACTCTATTTTTGAATATGGACCACAGTTCTCTTGGATATAGGAAATCGAATAAAAGATGTATAAATTTCTTGAAAGCTACTTCATATAAATTGTATGAAGAGAATCAGTCAAAAAGGATGTACCTT